AATGTGTTGATACGCGGATTTAACAACACATCTTTATAATATTACTAGCGTTCGCCCGCGACGTCGTCCGCGTGGATTTGTAGCCTGTGTTCTTCCAGACTATCCTCTACATCTATACCAAATTTCATCGAATTTGATTCCGAAGAAATTTACCCTAATTTAGCCTAAACGGCTAAACCGAAAACAAATCAAATCAAGCCTAGTTACTCAAGTAGAGTTTTTACGCTATTTGTAAGAATGTTTCTTTATTTACACAAAATATTCAATATTTTACTTAGTAGAATCTACAAGACTTGTCTTTAAATTGGTGCTAAGGTCAGATAGAGGTCAACAGTTGTTTTTGCACTTTCAGTCACTTTTTACCACCGGCTGCTAAAAGGTTACCGCATGCAGTGACATACGCCTGAAGAGTTAAACTTGTAACGTATATTGAAAAAAATAGAATCCTGAAAGCTGAAAGTGTATTTTCGTCAACAGATATTTCAGTCATGCAAATAATCTTACTAATATTATAAATGTGTAAATTCAGATGGATGGATGTTTGTTAGAGTTTGTAGTGTTGAAAAGGATGGATAGAACAAATATACGAGTAGTGTGGTAGACACTCTTTAATTTGAATATCGAACTTGATCCAAAAAGGTTTCATATATATGCACTTGTAAGAACTTTTTGATTCACCCTCGTACTTATTTTTTTTTAATTACATGCGGACGGAGTCGCGAGCTAGTTATTATATATGTTTAGTTCATTAGCCGAGAATTTTTACTTTCCTAGTAAGAGATAACAATAAGCTTATGTTCCTAAACGACAGGTTATTGCGATCTGTAGTTTTTTTAAGATATCGTAGTCTGTTTTAGCACAAATTGGACATGAAATCTGGTGGTGGATGGTGGTAAATCGTTATATCGTTTAATCTATACTAATATTATAAAGAGGAAAGCTTTGTTTAATTGTAATGAATAGGGCTTAAAAATTTCACCGTTAAAGGTAATTTATCTGTGAGTAACATAGGCTGTATTTTTTAATTTCTTTATCATCGGACGGAGTCGCGAGCAAATGCTATGGAAGATAAAAACAATTTAATTGTTGTAGCCATTAGGTTATAATTTTGATAACAATGTAGCCGTTAAATTGACATTAATGAGTGGTGAGAAAGCGGTGATTTTGATATCTTTATGTTCAAGCCTGAAATCGTTGAAATCTACTGAGAATTTGATAATAGAGTTGTTGAACATCACATTGTCAAAGGTTAATTTTTGAAACATCCAAGTAAAATTTTATTAATTAACTATAAAATAAACTTTATTTTCTATGCCTTTCTTAGGAAATAAATTAAAGGGTTTTTTTTCTGAGAAGAATTTTCTCTCGCAACTTGCGATAATGCTTTCATGTGAAGTTAAACTGATTATTTATTATTTATATAAAAGAAGAAAACGGTCCGGAATTTTATCTAAATAAATATATTTTCTTTACCAATTCTGGATTCAATACCATGCAGTTACAACTCTACAATAAACCTGTGGTAACTTAGAAAAAAACCGTAAACTTTTAAAACTATTATTTAACAAACAAAACAATACAAGAAACGGTTAACTTAAGTTGTATAACATGCATGAACATAACATCGTCAAGGTAATACTTGCCAAAATATGCAAAAAAAAGAATCACAATTATGCGCGTTCCTTATTTAGTCTCGGGTTCGTATTCGCACTTAACATCCGTTTAATACAAAATTATGTAAAACTTTGAAAACGAAACTCGTACAATAGAATCGCTTTGTTTTTAAGTTTCACTTAAGTTTTCGTAGCGCGGTCTTTGAACGCTAGCGCACGTAATCTCGCGGCGACGGTCGGGTACATACTGGCTCGGCCGCCCTGTCCTTCGCGACTCAACACTTTCACTGTAGATAAACCTACGGATAGGGGTGACGGATTCGAATCCAAACACACTCAGAATGATGAACAAACTTAGGGAGTCCCTTAACATTGATATATATTACAAATAACTACTCTAAGGTGTTGTTTAATAATCATTGATGTTTCTGAGTTAGAAATCTTTGTGACTAAATCATTTTTTTTAAACAGATAATCTACAATTGGTGAATAGCATTAGTAGAAACTATCCTAATAAAATTTGCAGATTTAATTAACAAACGGTTCTCGAAATACAATCCTTCAGTATAAACAGAAAATACATATATCTTACTAATATTATAAATGCAAAAATTTGGATAATTAGACGCATGTTTGTTAGAGTTTCAAACTAAACTGCTAAACGGACATCTTGAAATTTAGCCTAGTTGTAGAGCATAGTCTGGAAGAACACATAGGCGGTTTGCTTTTGTTTTTTTCTAATTCCGCTCGGTCGAAATCGCGGGTATTGTACAGTAGTTAATTATGCATCATACATGAACAAATTCCATTCACATTACACGCATTACTAAGGTGAATATCAAAGTACCGGAAATCGGCGAGCGATAGCAAGAACCGATCACATACGATCAGACATCTTTTGTCATTACCGCATATACCTAAGGTGTCTTTGAAACATATGTCATTACAAGAAACGCATCTTTTTAATCGGAAATTACTTTATCAAGGAAAAATCTTTCTAGAATGAAGCAATAAACCCGCCAGATGCTACGTGACCACCAGTTAGAAATAATTGATATCTATAGACTCCATCCGCATGGAATTTAAAAAAAAAAAACAAAAGTGAGTAGCCTATATGTTTTTCCAGATTATCCTCTACATCTATACCAAATTTCATCTAAATCCGTTCAGCCGTTTAGGCTACAAACTCTTACAAACATCCATCCATCCATCTAAACTTACACATTTATAAAATTAGTATGAAGTATGGTAACTAACAAATAAAGAGGTAAATTTAGACATAGATGTATGGAAGACTACGTATTGATTGGACACTATGTAGACAAGACAGATTGACAAAATATGCCGAAAGATTTTGGTCTTTATCACAAATTAAATAAAATACCGAATTGCTTAAATTTTTGTAAATATGGAAATACTGCGAGCGGGAAAATGTGCGATTCTCGATTGTTTCGCAGCCAATTCAATTGTTTATTCAAGTAAAAATCGCGTAAGTAAGCCTCCATATAACCTCATAAGAATCAAAACTTATCAGTCGTGCGACATTTTAGTCAAAGGTGTGCACACGCATTGTAAATAATTCATCTGCAGTAGGAACACTGGAATACTGCAACACCCTAAGCGGCAGTATTTGATGAATGCTGGTATGTAAAACATATTGTCATTATGTACTAATTGTTATGTAAGTCACAATCAATTGTTTACTTCACTACATCCACTTAGAATTCATTACATTTCAATGAATGTATGGATCTTTACCAACATACAATTCCCAGAATGTTTTTTGGAACTTCAATGAGAAGTTATTCTGTTAATTCCGTAAAATTGTATTGTAAAAACCTATTGTTTTTGTAGATATTTACAGAGCGATTGGTCTTTCTCAGGGGTTAAGCACTTCAGGTCCTAGCTTCTAATCCCGTTATGTGTAAATTGTCTGTCAATTTTAGAATTTCACATATATGTACATTCCTTAGAACTGATAAATTCTATCAGATTGTGTCGTCCGATATATCAAAACTATCCTGCAAATTATTTTTCAGATTATTATTGTCGGAGCCAGGATGCGGTGATCTTTACCGATTGAGATTGACATGTTGCAACGACCGCTCGTAAATGTCACTCGTAAAATACAATAAAAATCACTTATTTAATAAGTACTTAATGTCTCATAAACTTCCTTAGGGACTGCTACAAAAGACATTCGACTTCGCAGTTACACAAAACAGACAGACAGCAAACTTCGGGCTACATGCTTCGCCTTCGGCCTAAAGTGTGAAGCAACCAGTTAATAATTTTACGTCATTTCTCAATACATATGCTTTCTAGGCGTTTAGTAGCAAGGTATTGCGTAAAAATATTATCATAGTATAATTACAGTTGCATTAATTTAACATTTAAAATCAATCACCGATATGTGTTTGATAAATGGTCGTTGCCAAACGCGCGAACCTGTCGGTTGATTGAACTTTGAAAATAAACGCTATACTATCAAAAAATGTTAATAATCAGTTGTTTTTTTTATTACATAAGGTGGCAAACGAGCAAGCGGCCTGAATACGCCAAAATGGCGAAGCGACCGCTGCTCATAGACATGTGCACAGAGGTTGCGTTGCCTACCCTTGATCGACGGAGGAGACCCACTTAAAGAGAATATTTCCCCTTTCTATGCGTCTCCTGCACTGTCAAATCCACGTTCCCTTCTCACCACACTCATCAGAGGAAACGAGGAATTGCTGCCACTTCACGCCTGTCTTCTGTGTGGTCGTGGTATTGCTTATGTCGAGCCTGCCCTACAGTGCGAAGATGTGAAAGCGGGCTCTACCACTGTTTCTTTAAAATATCGGTATAAATAAACGAAGTAAAGTATTGGTACATATTTTATTTACAAACAGTAGAATTCAATTGCCTTTATTGCCGCTAGTTTACCTTGTGTTAACAATAGCTTAATTTATAATTTAAGATACTGGTAACACTCACTAATTGGTTCCTATTAGGGTACTAATGTTACGCGGTATTTGATGTTACACGGCGAGCATTTATGCGGTCTGTGGGAAAAAGCAACAAGTCGCTTAATACGAATGTTACACCATACACACGTAAAATTAAAACCGTACTTACTACCTAGTAACTAAACGTTTCTTGGACGAGGCTTTAAAAATAAAGCCCGTGTAAGTTCAAGGTGTCCTTCGACACCACTGCTGCCACCAAAATTGGCAAATGTCATGAACGAAAACAATTGTAAACTTTTATTGCGTACGATTCCGTAACGATACCGACATGACACGTATTAAAAAAATACATTTTACATGCAGATTTTACAGCGGGCGCACACCTTTGACTAATCTATCGCACAACTGTTGTGCGATTGTCGATTGTTTCGCAGCCGATTCAACTGTTTAGTTGCACAACTAATCGAGTAGTGTGCGCACCTCTATATAATTTCATAGTAATCAAACCGAGACTAAACGATTGTGCGATAAATTCGTTTTAGGTGTTCGCAAGTTCTTACTGGACAACTTACTTATACAAACATTATATTTAATATATGAACTTCTTCTATTACTACAAATAATTCCAGATAACAACATTTTTATAAGCACAGAAGTCAACGCTATAGTACAGTTGGGGAAGTACGCAGTGTCCCACTTACGGAGACATTGACATATTCTTTGCAATGAGACAAACTCCGCTCCTTCTTACTATTGTTTCATTTCTTCAAGCGAATGTGGCTTGTATTGTTGAACACTGCTTAATTCCCCGACTGTACATAAAATGTCGTAAAGTATAAAAGAATTCAATTCGTTAAAAGGGTGGACTCCCACAGGTGTTGAAATAAAATTAAGGCCAACAGAGAAACATCATTTGCGACGTAAATGACAGCGTTAATAAGAAACGATAGCACGAGGAAACAAATTGCAACAATTTATATAATTAGCTTTTATTATACGGTGTCTTGTAGAACTGCATACGAGTACTTTTAAACGAATCATTATATACAGACTACAGAAATATCAGTGCTGTTTATTCAATTAGGAAAAAAATTGGATTGCATCGTACTTGTAAGTAACGTCCCTTTTCCTTCTATACACTATTAAAATGTACTACAGAGTTTCTTGAAAGTTGAAAACAATTTAATTCGCAACTGGAACAAATGTATCGGGACATTTCACGATGTTTGAATTAGCGTCAATCTACGTGTCTAAATATTAACTGCTCTATTATTTAGTATAGTACAGTACTTAGTATATTGTTTGTCCTGGCCTCAATTTAATAATTTCCGGATGGTTAGGGTCGCCATTACCTCTCACTACATAAACCGTTCTAACAGATTGGTCCTCTTTATGTTCATTATAGTTATTGCTATATCCTTTGTAAATATCTGAGTTTAAATTATTGAAACTGTTATAATTATAGTTAGAGTCCAATTCTTGATACTTGTTAATGTATTCAATGTTTCTAGTATCAGGGAACTTAAATCCTCTTGGATCTCTTTTGCTTTCTTCTCTGTTAACTTCTCTTATATCCTTATCGAAGTATGATTCATCTGGAAATTTCAAACCTTTACCAACTCTTACTTTAGTATTAATATCATCTGGAAAAGACCATTTTGTATTATCTATGTTTTCAAAGGACAAATTATCTTCAAAGTCATCCAAATATTTGCCAGGTCTATTTTGAATTCGCTCTTCTATTGTGTTCTCTTCTAAATTCTTGAATCGTATTTTATTTAAACCATCATTATTTTTATTATAAGGATAATTGTTGCCGTATTTTTGTACTGGATAGCCATTTATTTGATTTTGTTGGTTATATTGATATGGGAAGTTATTGTTTATAAAATTTTGAGGAAACTGGTTTTGTTGGTTGTTGTAATTCTGAGACAATTGGTTGTAGAATTGATTGATATTTTGTTGATTGTTTTGTGGTGCGTTGAAGAATCTGAAGAAGCCACCATTGTGGTTGTTCAGGTAGTAGACGAGTTGCTCAGCATCTGTGGGGCAGAGGGGGTATGCGACGCGGCACGACGAGGGGTTATTCTTAGACGACATCCCCAGGAAGGCAGCTCGGCCGAAGACGAACAAAGGATTAGAACTTATACCTCGGTATGCTGATAGTAACCTGGAGATGTAGATATAAAAGAATTTAGTTAAACACCTATGTTAATACGTGAATTTTATTTAATATTTCTAATTCGTAGTGTCAAAACTAGCTTTAATGGTGTTAAACACAGCTAGATATATGATCAATTTGTTGTACATCCTATTGCAGTAGCAAGTCTGCTAATTAAACCCATACAGAGCCATGGAAAGATAATAGTTTCATTTATTTATTTATTTATTTATTTATTTATTTATTTATTGCAATTAAATTATACAAACATTATACAAACATCTATATAAAGTAACAACAATAAGTACCCCTTCGGGCGTGTAATATATTGAGTACAAATGCAGCGAAACAAACTTTGGGAACATCAACATAACCGTATCATATTTGCATCTAAAGTTATAGTCATTGCATGTAGTTGCATTATAGTCAATTCTTCAACTAGTTTCACATAAACCATTATCGTATTGTAATAAATAAAATACCGCTAGCTGTTAGTTTTAATTGGGTCAGTTATAATTTTGATAAGCGCCCCGTTACTGCATCTGAAGTTCCCTCACGTTCAGGTAGTCGCCATTTATATCGATAGGAACTGGGCCAGCAGAAGTGACAATGGACTAATGGCTGTGGTTATTGACATGAGTTCGAATCCAGTAATATTGCGAATAAAGCACATTTAAAAGAAAAAGTATGTGCTGGGTTCTAAAATATCTAACACTTTATAATTTAATTAAATAGATTAATTATCTACATCGCAGAAACTCCTACGTCAAAATAATAGCAATTAGCCATTTAATAACGTATTGCTATTTTTAATTGCAGTTTAAATATTGTTAGTATGACTTAAATAATGATCAGAATACTTACGTGAGCAGAGGCTGCAGTCCAGCGATGGACTGCAAAGTTCCGGAGACCGGGGCTCCGCTTGCCGCCTCGCACAGCAACCGCGCCACGCACTCCCGATCGTCGAACAATGCTATCGATGTTAGAGCTTCGCTAACAGTCGATAATGCTTCAGTGGCCAGTGACGGCCTTTGACGATTAGGTGGCCCTGAAATGACATAAATGGAGCCCCTTACATACTATATTTTACTACCACCCTTACTACATTTTGTACGGTAAATTACTGATGCATTGTATAAACAAGCATTAAAACTTTGGGTAAAGTAGATCGTGTACAAAACCATTTGTAACTTACTGTAAATACCGCTTGGGTCTTGTCCGTAAAACGGAGATCCTCCAATACCGGGTGGTTGGACATAGGGTGCGTAAGGTCCATAATATCCAGGAGTCAAACCCTGTGGTCCCTGCACCCTAGGTTTGCGTCTCCTCCTCTTCTTTACTTTACCTACCCTATTATCGTCTAAGAATGTTATTTCCTGTTTATCTTCATTTGTGTTCAATTGTATATTATCATTGACTTTTGATATCATTTTGTTAGAGTCGAAATAGACATCTCGATCACTTTCTTCAAAATTGAATTTAGTACGACTTTGTATAGTTCCGTTCAAGTTAAAGATTTTACTGAAAGTAACAAACATTTTTAGAAATTGAACAATATATGTGTAAACTAGATGTACTCGTATGTAGATGTAGATTATTATCGATAGCAATTGTTCTTTAAGTATTTAAAATTATGAAATCATTTATACTTACATTAGCAAAGCTTCCGGGTCGTATTCCACTGTTGAATTATTTAGTTTGTCGGACAATTCCTCGCAGAATATTGACAAAAAGACCAAAGAAACAGCGACGTACAAACACTTAAATCTCATGACGAAATCTGCAAAATAACTTCCAATTAACACGATTATTTCTTTACAAACATTTACTCTTCTCCTCAGTAACTATAATTACAAGAAATGCAATATTTTAAAGTATCGAAATTAATAATTGCTACTTTGTAGTTAAACCCTGTTTATTAGTTCTCTAAATTGTCTTACATATGTCTTTATTAAATTTCAAATAAGCGTAACTTACAGCTTTAAGTAACAGACGGTCTCAACACTAACATCACCGACTTCCAAATGAGCTTTTTCTCAATTTCTCCAACTCTCTGTTGTAGAAAGCTCTGAGATCATACATCCTCCGCGCAGCACCTTACAAGGGTTTATGATCACATAATGCCATAACAAGGACACCTTACAAGTGTTAGGCAATATTAACGATAGTGAAAACAAAAATTTAACACGGATCTAACAGATAATATAAGCTATAAAATATAGGAATTTAGGTTTCATTCTTTTTTCAATAAGCGTGAAAAATTTTCATCTTAGAGAAAAATTGCTATATGTAAATGGTAGGCGTTTTTACCTAATGCAAAAAATATTCTCATTTAACCTTCCATATTCGGCGTATTCTAACAGTAGAGACTGTTGTTGTTAGTCAGTGTAATGTAACACTTTAAATTGATAATGTTAAGTGTGTTTAAAGATTATATTTCTAGTGTTAATCTTAAAAGAAACAAAAGTATGCGTGTGTTCATCTCAGCAGTCTTGCGTAACGCAAACCTTCCTCGAGCCTACGTCCAAGTGAACGACCTTTCCTTAAGACTCGACATGTTTACGATTTTGTAACTTATCAATTTGTAACTTAATAACAGATTATCAATGTAATATCTATTTGTTTTGCAACGCTTCTAAAACATACATCACAATGGTACGAAACTTAGACGGGGTTTAAACACTACATAGGATTAAGACTCGAGGATGTTCATGTCATAACAAGATCGTTCGCACACCTTTGACAAAACTATCGCACACTGTTGTGCGACTGTCGATTGTTTCGCAGCCAATTTAACTGTTTAGTTGCACAACTAAAAATTGCATAGTGTGCGCACCTCCATATTCATAGGAATCAAAGCGAGACTAAACAGTCAAAAGTACTAAAAATCTTTAGTTTAATTTGCTAAAACACTTCAAACCTCCCTTAAACAATGAACCTCATGAAATAATCAGAAAGTTGCTTAATTCTTTGCTGTAAATAAATCCATAAATACATAATAAAATATCGGCGAATTTGTCGTACTTGGAGGACAACACAAGGTTATGTCCTCGTCGAAACTTGCAAAAGCGAAAACAAAAGGATTTTACTTATGGTGTAATAAATACATTAAGATAAGTTGAAATCAAAATTATTATAAGGCTTTTGTACAATTCTACATAATAATTTTATTCTAAATCTATCTGAAGTTATTCAGATTTTTTTTTATAACATCATAAATGTTAATGTTAAGATGACGAATGGCAAATGCATGATGTTTTTTTTATATACAAAACGGCGGCAAACGAGCAAGCGGCCACCTAAATCCGCCAAAATGGCGAAGCGACCGCTGCCCATAGAAATCCGCAATTGCAGATGCGTTGCCTACCCTTATCCGACGGAGGAGGAGACGCACATAAAGAGGATATTGCCGCTTCCTATGCATCTCCTCCACCGTCAAATCCACTTTCCCATCCCTCCTCCTCTTAAAGAAAAAGGTGGGACGGGTAAGGGACTAAAATCGGGCCTCCGGCACCACACTCATCAGACGAAACGCGGAATTGCTTCCACTTCACGCCTGTCTTCTGTGTGGTCGTGGTATTACACCGGGCGAGCCGACCCATTCGTGCGAAGATGAATGGCAAATCGGATCTAGATTAAAATAAGCACAGATAAAACATAATCCAGAAAAATCACATAGATTAATTACCGAGTTTTTTAAATTCCGCACGGAAGTCACCGGTAAGAGCTGGTCTTAAATGAAGATAATCGCCTCAATATTTTGTTAACTATACGCTTTCTAAACGAATCCTTCTGTCATATTATTATCAAACAGCCTTTTTATCAGCAAATTCATACTGTATTCTGTATTCATTTTATTTATATCTTTAATCTAGAAGTGTTTGCTGAAGAATTTATCTCATGACTTGAGCCGACCTAATTTTACATAAATCTGATGTCTGCGACGTTTATAAAAGCAACTGTTGTTTATAAAGCAATCATCTTATCTAGAAGGTACAAATAAATCTTTTTATACAACTTGCATGTCATCTACACATATGTATAACAAAATTGGAGTGTCTGTTTGTAATATCAAATGAAAAATTCCAGATTTCGGGAAGATGTTGTATTTATTGCCTGTCTTTCCGCAAGCCGAATTTGTTTCGGGTAATCTCCGAAACGGCTGGGCCGATTTTGACCGGACTTAGAGAGAGTAGCTGAATAGACGGACATATTATAGGCTACTTTTTCATCTTAATGCATGGACGAAGTTGCAGGAAACAGGTAGTATTATATAAAGGGAAGATATGTATTTGTATATTTTCGTATGTAAGGAATATAATCAAAACCTACTGCAAAAACGGTTTTTTTTTTTAATTCCGCGCGAATGAAGACGCAAGCTAGTTAATTAATAATTTTGTCATATTAAAAACGATTAAGACAAAATGTAGCTATTTTCATTTAATTAAAATCCCATCTATACTATAATAATAAAGCGTAAAGACTCACTTCTTTGTTGCCTAAGATGTCAGCTAATTGCTGACATCTTAGGCAACAAAGAAGCATGTTTTTGAATAATTCTGTTGTTAATAAAAAGCCCTACACTTACGTCACGCTTTAGGCTATATATTTTCATGCCATTAAACTTAGGGGGTAAATATTTTGGATAAAAACCCTAATGTGGGAAAGTGACCATAAATTGCTCGCAACATCAAGAAAGTAAGATCGCCAAAGTTTGTCATGTCAATTTGGTATTGATAATTTGACAAATATAAACAATAAAATAAAATTTTCATAATTTCATGCGGATGAAGCCGCACGGGATCAGCTAGTTATTTAACACGCGTGTATCCATGTTTTCACTGCAGATTGAAAACAATATCATATTTAATAAATGAAATGTATTTAATCAAAATAAATGTATTGAGACATAATATTTTTAATTCGACTTGATTACAAAGAAAAAATAATTCTTTTGTTATACTTAGTTGTAAATTTCATATTAACTATGTTATAGTTTAAATTGTTAAAACATTTTGCCACTTTGTAAATTGTTTAAAAAGAATTAAAGACACTACCAATGCAATATTTTACTCACGCGTCACACATGTACTATTATTATAAATGTTTGTCGACAAATTCGCGTTTGTTTCTTGCTCAGGTTCCTTTATCTAGGAAACAGTAAGACTGACTTTGAAGGGAATTTTAATGGGAAGTTCTGGTAAAAAGATGCGATAGTAATACGGATTTCAGTTTTAATTCCACGTTAAGGAAGTCGCGGTCGATCACTAGTATCTCATATGTTTTATAGTCAGTGTCAGAGACAAGGCTCTCACGGCAAGTTGTATCTCGTTTTCCTCAGTATTATAGACGATTTTGTGAATTTTATTCAAGAACATTTAAAATGTGATTTTATTAAAATAATTTAAAATCTTTGTGCCCTGAAAGAGTTATTTGTGAATATTTCATGTAAAGAGCAATGGATTTAAGTGTGTGAATATCGTGTTTTTGTTTTTCTTTTAAGGTATGTTTTTATATTATAACTACAATAACAGATAATTTATACTCAATTTGTTTGTGTTCGAAGTACATTTCGCTGGTACGGAAGCGATTTAGAGTACATTAAATTTTATGTTTTTGTTTTTTTTATTTCATCCATACTTACATGGTTTCGAAAGTTATATGTAGATGACGTATTCGAATAAAAGCCTAGAAATGTAAGTGGTCTTACCTTATTTGGTAGACGCCTGTGATGGGCATGTCCTACATACATTAGTTAAAATAAATTTATAAGTTTGGTAAAATTCACCACAAATAGATTTCTTTATTTATATTTAAGAACGAATTTAGTTTTTTTTAAAAAGTTGTTCTAGAATTTATAACATATAAAATATGTTTTAAAAAATTAAAAACACACTCTAAGGAATTATATAAGTACGTAACTAAGACGCGTTTTATCATAAAAATAAAACGGTTTTAAAAACAGCAAATTTTACATGTTTTCAGGTTACAAACAAAAATGGTAATCCAACTCTCCTCTCAAATAAACAGCGCCAAAAAAGAAGATGGCTTTGCCAACATTCTCGGCCACATCGGAAGATGGCAGATCTTAGTCTGCGCTACAGTTTCTCTTGTAAAATTATCCTCTGGTTGGGTTCAAATGGCAGTACTCTTTCTTACACCGAAATTAAACTTCTGGTGCATAGAATTTTCTAATTCAAGTCGAATTGTTCACAATGCAACATGTTATGACGATTGTTTGAAGTACGAGTACGATCCGAGCCCGTTTGAGAACACGATTGTATCGGAATGGGGTCTAATCTGCAGCAGAAGTTGGCTGGCGAGCTTTACACAGACAGTCCTGCAGTTTGGGATATTATTAGGAAGTATTTTGTTCGGATTTCTTTCTGATAGGTAAGTTATTGACTGACTTTCCAAAAGAAGGAGGTACTCAATTGTTCTGTATGTTTTTTAACGTATAGTTTGCTAAAGCGTGTTGATATTACTGTAGTAATTTCTAAGAACACATAGGCTCGTTTTTTTAACATTGCGAGTAGCTTTACCATAAATTTGTATCGCTAGCTTTCGCCCTTGACTATGCGTGAATTAAAAAAACATAAGTAAGTAACCTATGTGTTCTTCCAGACTAATCTTTACATCTATGCCAAATTTCATCGTGATCCATTCAGCAGTGTAGGCTAGAAACTCTAACAAACATCTGTTTAAATTTTCGCAAAAATATTAGTAAGAAGTAAGGTATTACGAATACACTGTTTTTAGTATATTTCAAGTTTTTGCTATTTTTATGTCTTCAAAAAGGATGAGAGAACCGGCGTTTGGGTAGTGCGCGGTAGGGTAACTAACCCAGGGCACTGAACGGAAATAGGCACCACACGCCACAAGTCTGTTAAAGATATACAAAGTTGTAACAATTGATTGTTAGAGTTAATAGCTTTAGTATCTACAAACGTAAACGGAATACGTGACCTGAATAATCTGCATTAATTAATTTAAATATCTGTTAACTAGTAAACCCGGTTTTTGACTACATTTATCGATTTACGAAACACAAAAATTTCTCAACACAGTAAACTTGTTTAAAATTACTGTATAAAGGATTCAATTAAAATAAAAAATTAATTTTGCGTTGAAATCAAAAAGTGATAAAGAAGAGATACTGGTTATAAAATTAACAATAAAAAATCAAGGCTACCAATAAAATATTATGATAAAAATAATTACATTTTTGTAGTTCCTTATGAATTTATTCCGCAACTTAAAACTTTAAATCCATATAAGACAATCAAAACATTATTTATCTTCGATATTTTAATAAAAGTTATAGCAAATATTAAATATTATTATGGAAAATCTTAATTACAAACATGTGTAGGGCCATTGACTCCTCTGCGAGAGGTAAATCCTAAAAATGAGGCCACTGAAACCATTACTGTGTTACGCCTTCCCGCTACGACATGACTTTGTATGGATGGTGGGAAGTCCTTGGATGCGTTCGGAATACCGTATATTGTATGGAAGGCCTTTGTCTAATAATTATAATCATAAAAGATGACAAACACGATTCAGTATATCAAATTAATATATAACATCGTGACTATATTAATTTCGCGGATAATAAGCTTGTAGCGTTTTTTAACTCATCTGTAAACGACTTTAGCGTGTTCTATGAATTTAATTGACCCTGACTTAAAAACAATGGGTTTTATCTGACCCTTGATCTTTATAAGTTGTGGCGTAGAAATACATTGCTTGCCAAATGTTAGTTTTATAAATTCATATTTTTACGCGTAAATGCGTATCAAATTTAAATGTTCTTTAACATTTTTAATTTAACGTAACCTTTTATGATCCTATCACTCTTAAAATCCTTTGTTAAATCATTACTGCATAAAAAATAAAAATATTTAACATCTTAAGATAAGAAATTGTGCCAAGGTTACAGAAGAACATAAAAATAGTGATGTTTTGTACATTTGTTGCATCTCGTAGGAGATAAAATAATAAATTATCATACACGTATATAATCTATTTTGATAACAATTTTACATGATTCGACATTATCTTGAAGATATATTTCATTGTTTAACTGAATAATGGCCTAAAAATAAATTAAATGATGTAATAATCAGAACTTTCAAAAATAATTTAATAATCATGCTAATATATGAAAGGTTAGATGGATGTTTGTTAGAGTTTGCAAAGAAACTGCTGAACGGGTCTCAATAAAATTTGGCATAGATATAGAAGTTAGTTTGGAAGAACACATAGGCTACTTAGTTTTTTTTTATTCCACGCGGGCTGTGACGCGGGCTAAAGCTAGTAAATAATAATTTATAGTTACTTGAGTATATATCACTACGCGATAATGCGGCTTTGTTGCAGCGTTACTTCAATAACAGTAAAGTTAATATTGGATTTTATATGAATGACATTGAATTAACTAAGAATATAACATTATTTACAAGCATAACACATTATCTGATAATCTCAGTATTGCTTTCTGCATTATGTGACATTCTGCCTTCCACTGACATATATTACGTTCCTTACAGGTATGGCCGAAAGAACACATTCCTCGTCTCAATAACAGCTCTCATAGTCTTCGGATTCGCCATCCCTTTCGCACCCGATTACACTACCTTTACCGTTTTACGGTTCTTCCTCGGTATAGCAACATCGGGAACTATGGTCGTCTCTTTCGTGCTGATCATGGAGACAGCCGGCCCCAACTTCAGGGAGATATTGGGCTGCTTGTTCCAAATACCATTTATAATAGGACATATGACTGTGCCGTTGTTCGCCTACTTTTTCAGGAGTTGGGACTCTTACAGTTTGGCGTTGGCGATACCACCTGTCATATATTTTGGATACTTTTTCTTATTAACGGAATCACCACGATGGTTGGTCAGCGTTGGACGAGTGAAGGAGGCAACTGTTATTGTAAAGAGAGCTTGTGTAATGTAAGTCTTTTATTACCTACTACCTTTTATGCCTAAGCTAAGAGTACTTAATCTTTGATTGTCATAGATTAACTTCAGAAAGGGTTCAAAGGCTACAAAATAATCCTTTAAAATTAATCTTCCAGGAACAATCTACCAACAACTAAAGTAGAAGAGAATCTCAGTAAATTAGCACAGAGTATACAGAGCAGTCCGTCAGGGCCCAAACTCAACTATTCAGCGCTGTTTCGCAAGTCGCTGCGGCTGAGGACAGTCTGCTGCTGCGTCATGTGGACCATCAGCGGGCTGACGTTCTTCGGCTTCAATCAGTACATCAGCCAGACTAGCCCAGATCCATTCATCAGCGTTGCTGCTGCTGGAGCTATACAGGTAGCTGGCATGTCTATTTAAAAGTGAAAAAGAATGGATCTTTTTTTAATTTAGAAAGCTGGAGTGTACATTAAAAGTAATATAAAAGAGGTTATAATTACTTAATCTAATCTGTTTGAAATTATGTCTGTAATAAGTTTAACAATAAAATTCATGGCACGCGTGATCAAGGGCGATGTATTAAATATAGTTACGCTTTGATTTTCCTCGCAATGAATGGAGACATCGAAGAGACTTCCTTATGGCAGTCGATAAGGAATCCTTGAATTTACAATTGGAATGAATAGTACGGAAAAGGAACAAATTAAAGAAAACTTACCATTATACGATTGTACTAATAAAACCCGTGAATATTTATGAAGACAACTGGGCTGATAAGGGAAAGCATGCAAAGACGATAAGGTTTCCGTAAACTAACAATAATATACAGCATAGTGTTTATTACTTTTCTCCATTGTGAGATTTAACAAAGTACGTGTAAATCATACTAAATTTATGAATGCGAAAGTTTAGATGGATGGATGTTTGTTAGAGTTTGTAGCTCAAATTGCTGAACGGATCTCGGTGAAATTTGGCATAGGTGCAGAGGATAGTGTATAAAACGCATAAGCTAAATCCATTTTTTTAATTTCAAGCGGATGGAGTCGCAAGCAAAAGCTAGTGGTGAATTAAACCAAGTTTATTCTTTTCCAGATTCCATCGAATCTTATATCAATTTGGTTGATAAAATACTTCGGTAGAAGGATCACGACTGCGATGTTCTTCACGCTGGGGGGCGTCTGCGTGGTGGTGCTAGGAGTCGTCCCTGATGATTTTTGGATTACACTAACTCTTGGGACATTAGGAGTCAGTTGTGCTGCTATAGTCGCCGCTACTATTTACATTTATACCTCGGAGCTGTTCCCTACTGTTGTAAGGAACATGGCGATGGGATCCAGCTCAATGTCTATGAGGATTGGATCTATGATAGCACCGTTTGTATCCAATTTGTCATTAACAGTGTCATGGTTACCTACATTGATATTTGGTTTCGCGCCAATAGCGGCTGGCATAGTTTGTCTGTTACTCCCAGAGACGAAAGGAACTACATTACCTGATAGTTTAGAAGATGATTAAGTACAATTAAGTTTATTTTATAGCTTTATTAAGTATACGATTAATTAATAAATGTTGAATTTACAATTTTATTTCCCACGACCTTCCTTTTGCCTTCTATATAAATGAATGATAATCGTAACAAGTATTTAGTTGGTTTTAAGAATGACGAAGTATTCTAACGGATTGTTAGTAATAAAACTACACGCTAGGATCAACAGTAGATGGCCTAAAAACAGTGACCTAGGGCTAATACAGACTAGTAAATTAAGCAATAACATTTATGCACCTAACGCCGATATTTTCTATTATAATTAACAGTCTATTTTTTAATTAAATACAATAACTAGTTAATGAGTATAATTTTAGTTTTTCGCATCAGTCTGCGCCTCTTTCACCCAAAGCGAAGGGAGATTCCGCCGCCGTTCTTAAATAATAATTTCCACGCAACCTGAAATAAAAAAATAACCAATACAAAAACAAAACAGATCACACTGGAACCGTAGTCTTTTGAGATAAATCTATCGCATAACGGTTTAGTCGCGCTTTGATTCCTATGATCTTATACTACTCGATTTTTAGTTAAATAGGCCGCGAAACATTGACAATCGCACAACGTTTTTCGATAGTTTAGTCAAAAGGTGTGCTCTAAGTAATGTTAGTGTAAACTTACATGGGGGTAGCGTTATACCCCATGAGGACTATGGGCTCGTGGTGACAATGGCCGCGCAGGAACGCGTCGTAACCGGTGCAGCGCCGCGCCGCGAACACGCCGCCTTCCACAGACTCCGCCCAGAACCGCCACGACCTCCAGTGGCTGCAGAAGTCTAAGGAACCATTGTTATAGGTATTGTTGTCTCTGTTTTTGTCAAAAAGTACAAAAGAGATACAATATGTAACACAATTGTAAATACAGTGGAGTTCTTTGGTCATTTTCTGAAGGTTCATATTTTTAGATGTAATTGCTATTATATTTACGCAGGAGCTTTAATATTAAGATATGTAAATAAAACTTGCGGGATTTATTAGTGTTACTATTAACTATCAGAAATAGAATTAAAGCAACAAATTTATAAATACCTTCAACAGTAAGCGGCACTGTGAGAGGTAAACATCCCGGTTGTTTAGCGCGTCCTTCGTTGGGCCAGAAGTCAGCATGTCCTATCGCCGAGGGCGCGCCAAAGCCCCCGCCATCTGTATGGATGACATCGACAAAGCGTGCGTCCTGAGGAGTCAGCGGCTTCAGGAATAAGGCCGGATAGAAACCAGGATATGCAGCGTCTAGTACTGTTAACCTGTAATAAATTCTCCACCAATTGATTTCAGAATAGTTTAGTTCTTTCAGAGCTTAGCTTGTGAACATACCTGGGCACTTTATATCCTAAAGTCTTCAGATATCTGCAACAGAAGCCGCCGAGATGTGCTCCCAGCGAGTGACCGATTAGATGCAGTCTATCGATAGGGAGACCACCTTTGAGTAGCTTCGCCATTGCCTTGGCTGTTTCCTCACCAAGCTGAAAACAAAAAAATACTCTAGTATTATACATTCATCGGTAAAACAGTTAAGCGGATTTCTATGAAATTTGGCTATAAATAACTAAATAATAAGCAGGAGTTGCCACAAAAATACATTTTAAATTTAATGTACAACAACCTGAGTAAGTAAAAAAAATTGGCAAAAGGTGGCAAAGGGGAAAAGTAAGGCAGGGAAGACCCAGGCCGTTCCTGCACTGGTTTTCAAGGTTGCAAGAACACACAGTCTAAGTACGCTCCAAGTTTTTTGTTTTTTAATTCCGAGCGTAGGAAATCACGGGCAAAAACTGTAATTAAGTAGTTATACACATCGTATAATAAATCGAGTTAATTAATTCAAAAATATTTTTGATAAAATCCTAACCAGCTTTAAATCGAGTATAACGTTGATGTAGTTTCCGAAGCCAAGATTGCTCCAGTCCAGCAGCAGAAAGTTGTGACCGCCACGACGCTGGTATGCACGCACAACTGTCAGTATGCTGTCGTCTGTAGCCTGCTCCACGTACCTGCGACATGACAAATTACATTACATGGTCTATCTGTCGGTGGCTGAGGGGTTTGAGCCCTTGACTTGTAATCCACAGTTCCTAGGTTTGGAACCCAGTTCGAATTTCGCCATGTACCAATGTGATTTTCGATTTCTCGAACTTCATATGTACATAATTTACCCGACGTTCTTACAGTGAAGGAAAACATCATGAGTACCTGCAAATATTGGATAAGATAAGTTTGAAGGCGATCTGCAGTGGGTCAAAATGTCTCCGAGCGTCTTAGTGGGGATGAATAGTTAGCTGATTATAAACTAAGTATTGTTACTTTAATTATTATGTTACTTACATAACTCACCCGTGTATGTACAGCGAAGTGGGTTTTGTAATGTCGAACTCGGGCTCTGCCAGCAATTGTTTGAGAGTCGCGTAGTGGTATACCGCCGGCTCGCTGATGTCCCTGCTGAAGTGACACGGGAATATATTGTAGATTTCGCCCGCGACAGCGTCCGGGTGGAATTAAAAAAAAAAACAAAAACGTGAACTGCCTATGTGTTCTTCCAGACTATCCTCTACATCTGTACCAAATTTCATCGAATTCCGTTCACCTGTTTAGGCTACAAACATCCATCCATATTAACTTTCGCATTTATAATATTAGTATGAAGTATGATCATATAGTAAATTGTGTTAAAACAAACGTAAATAAATAACAACTCACCCGTAATAAAGAATCCTAACGTCCTTGGAGTTAGCCACTCGGCCGCGCGGAACTGAAATGTAACACGCACATATCAATTGATCAATATCTTATCTAGTTAACTAATATTATGAATCCGAAAGTTAAGATGGATGGATGGTTGTTTTATTTTGTAGCCTAAACGGCTTAACGAATCTTGATCTAATTTGGCATAGATGTAGAGAGTAGGTAGCCTGTAAGAAAACATAGCTACTTACTTTTTTTTTCCACGAAGAAGAAGTCGCGGCCAAAAGGTAATTTAATAACTTAGAAAACAGAATTCTAGTCAAGGAAGTCTATTTCCTACCCACTCTAGTGAAATTATGTATGATACATACCGGGCACCATAGCGCGAAGAATGTTCCGGAAACTGTAAGGTGACAATGGAAGAGATGCGTTCCTCTGAGCCATGCCTGGTGACGTCACTGGAATATTCATGTGTCAAAGAAACTTTGAAATATATAGGGCTGGTTAATCTATACATATAAAAAATTGGAGTGTCTGTTCGTAATATCAAAAGAAAAATTCCAGGTTTCAGGAAGATGATGTATTTGCATTGCTAATAACTAAAGTCGCATTTAAAAAGTTTTTGTCTGTCTGTCTGTCCTTAAAGCGCGTTTGTTCCGGGTAATCTGCGAAACGATTTTGAAGAGACTTTCACTGAAGAGTAGCTGACATATACGGGGATATTATAGGCTACTGTTTTATCTTTATTGTACGTGGACAAAGTCGCGGGCAACAGCTAGTTCATTACATTTACAGCGAAGATAAATAAAGTCTTCCGTATCTTAATTAGACAATACTCTCGTACTTGGCATCTGGCAAAAAATTACATCCGACATTGGAATTTGTCATGGCAACAAAGTTGAAAAAAGCATAAAAGCTGACCTTTTCGTAGCGAAAATGATATTCGGTTTTAAATTCACAGTATCATTATACTGCGATGTTATATTGCTACGTTGGTATTAAAGTAACATAAACAGAACCTGGATAAGAACTAGATATGTCGGTTCTAATAGACGACCTACATAAAGGAGGTTAGAAACCTTTACAAGCGAGAAAAATATCAGTTCCTTGGACTCTCGCTTATCCGGTTTTGACAGAAATTTACTGTTTTTGTTTTTGAATTTATATAAGATAGCTCTTCCCCTGCGACTTCATCCGCATAAACTTATGAAAATGTTATTTAATAGTTTACATGTGCCAAATAATCAATTGCAAATGTCAAAATACCAATTACCTTACTATGGCAATTTTGCTTTCTTGATGTTGGCAGCAACTTATGGTCTCTTTCCCACATTAGGGTTTTTATCCAAAATATTATCCCTCTATGTTTAATGGCGTGAAAATACATAGTCTAAAGCATGACGTAAGTGTAGGGCTCTTTATTACAAAAAGAATTATTCAAAAATATGCTATAATTGCTGACTTCTTAGGCAACAAAGTAGTGTGTGTTTACGCTTTATTATAATAGTATAGATATAGATTTCGCCAATGGGAACAGTTGTGTAGAGAATCAAAAAATTGCATTAAAAATTAAAATATATAATATTGTGTTGGTAACATGTAATATTTTTTTGCTATAAAAACTCCGTCTAGTTAACAGTTAAGTATATAATTATAACCACATACTTTGTGGTCAATGTTAGTAAATCGTAAACCAAAGGTTTCTGTATAATAATTGTGGTTCTTGATGCTATAAATAACTAAAGTAATTACATAGATCGCGTCTACATTTGTCCTTGGAAATGCTATGTTTAAGTTACGGCTGGTTTCCCAGTTATATTTAAGCATTCATTAGTGTATTTTGTATGATTACTTCATGAAATTCCGATCTACGTAACTTAAATTTTAATCTTTTAAGTTTAGTTCAACTTAATACTAATGAATCGATAGGTAACGATAAAATAGAAACTTCAGCAACCCAGCATTAGTTGAATTGATAACTCCAGTTTTAAAGGACTTCATTTATATTTTTGACCGACTTCCCAAAAGAAGGAGGTACTCAATTCGTATGCAGATATGTTTTTTTAAACTTAGGATAGAGCTGAAGATAGACTATATATTACTCGAAGATTTCTTTTTAACCTTATATTTGAAAAACGCTAGAAATTGCACGTTACAGTCAAAAGAATAGAGTACAATTTCATTTTTCATTCGATGAATATACGTATTAAAATGGCTTATCTAAGTTACTAATTATTCTTATAAAAAACAGACAATTGGAAACTGTGTAACGGACAAAAAATATTGAGATTTAGTTAATTACCATTATGGTAATTTATTTACCATATTAATAAAGCTACGTGAATGAAAATCAAACTAACTCCGAGTATAAAATTATGTCTGAATGAAGTCTGAGGACCTATCGTTTTTACAACTAATGGAGACGCGGTCTAGGTATAAAAGTCTCTTGGCTTACAATCATTTTAGACCTTTCACACACTTATTTGGATTTCCTTTTTGATTTTTCTTTCGAAAACAGTAGTTAGTAGTACTTGATTAATTTCTTTACTGGTGAACCTTGAATTTTTCGCTGCACACGGGTCTCTGAGGACCTAGAGGTCATCTGCACCACATTAGCGACTTTATTTTTTTTTTATAATATAATGTGGCAAACGAGCAAGCGGCCACCTGAATCCACCGAAATGGAAAGCGACCGCTATCCATAGACATCCGCAATTGCAGATGCGTTGCCTACCCTCCATTGACGGAGGAGGAGACGCACATAAAGAGGACGTTTTTCTTTCCTATGCGTCTCCTCCACCATCAAATCCACTTTTCCTTTCCATCCTCTCCTCTTAAGAAAAGGGTGGAAATGGAAAGGGACAAAAATTAGGCCTCCGACACCACACTCATCAGTCGAAACGCGGAATTGGTTCCACTTCACGCCTGTCTGTGGTCGTGGTATTACACCGGGCGAGCCGGCCTATTCGTGCGAAGATGTTAAAGCGGGCTCTACCACTGTTTTAGTTATTGAGTAAATGTAGAGACAAGATACTTACCAAAAATAATATTTAGAATAACCAAATAAATTATTTCCAACTTGTAGCGCATTTTACACAAATACACAGTCTATACAACTTTAAATATTCAAATACACCATAAACTAAATCACTAATAATTTTCTTGATATTTCAAAGTAAGAAACCGTATAAAAAATTAATTTGTTTCAAGATATTACTAGATTACATTTAAATTATCTCTAATGATATTGAGCGGATAATATGTATCAGGATTAAATTGAAAACAACGTCGCAACAGAAGTGACCCAGCACGACTGGCTTCAGTCTTCATTGCTCGACCTTCTTGAGTTTTTGTCATCGCACGCAACACTACTCGTAATTATTAATTCGACAATAACTGTTGTGACAATTGACGTGACATCTTCACGGCCGCGGTAATGTAGGTTGGACAGCGGTGTAGATGAAAATATCTACTTATATAAATGCGAAAGTTTAGATGGATGGATCTTTGTAAGCTTGAAACCTAAACTGCTGAATGCATCGTGATTTAGTGATATAGAGGATAGTCTGGAGTAAACCATTTTTGAGTTAATGATATTTGGTCCAAATTTTATAGTAGCTCGGGGTTAATTGCAAGCGCAGATCAAGGGTTGCTCCCCAATAGGCGGATAAAAACTCGTAGTATGTCATGCCTCCGTTAGGGGTGAGCAACGCGGATTCCTTTACATTAAGTTAATTCCTAGTGTCCTGCACAACGTGGACGATATTGTCATCATAGTTTGTTCACACTGTATCATTAGTAACGAAATCTATAAATTGCAAGTAACTTTACACGCAACCTTGTATACGACCCTTGGGTCAAGTGATCGCGGCTGCATATTAAATGAAAAACTATTCATATCTCACGGTCGAATATACAAAATGACTGTCAAAGATTACTTTTTTTTTCTCATAAATATAAATAAACCAGCCAATTCTTGTCTTTTTTTATTACAAAATGCATGTAGGTTAAGTATACTTTAAGGTTATGTACAATTGACTGGATATATAACGAGTTTTTTTTTAAAACTTCGATCGCTACGCTATATTATTTTTATTTTTTTTAAACATTGGTTTGATATTAAAATTATATAAACTTGAAAATAAGTGATATTAGTCGGTTTAATTTTTATTATCTTTATTTTAAATACACAATGTGGGAATGTTTAACAATACACTTTTCAGCATCAGGCAAATTATCCATTTATCTGACAAACATATAACTATCACATTTAAACTAAAAATAATTTTATAACCTAAAATAATAAATACAAACAAAAAAGGAAATATTGTAAAGTATTGGAGAACGAGAGTTTCCCGTTAAGCCTATCGGCGCATTTGGGTAATTTTTCCATTGGGCTGATCGACCCAATGGGAAAAAAATCCCAATCGGCCCAACGGGAAACCCCTTATAGAACAAATATTTACAAAAAATATTTTAAAAATTTACAAAGGAACCTCAAACAAAATGTATAATACAATTCACATAAATAAATTTTATTGTACAAATTTAATTCACAAAAACAATCAAACTCTAACAAAATCATAGCATAAAACAATTGGCATTAAAAAGATAAATTGTATGGAAAAATGGATATGTGAGCTAATTTTGATGTAGACTTGATAACAAAAAAAAACATATTTTATTGTAGATTTGTTAAAATAAGCTACAGCCTCCTTTATATTTTTATTATGAAAAATTACATTTATTTATTAAATGTGGGTTTTATCATTTATTTGTTAAAATTCAAATAAAGGCAGCCTAACATATACTTATTCTCATAACATCTTCAATGTTTTAAGTAATATTCTTTCGAGTAATAGTAACTCAATTTTATTATGCTTCTATTTCTTCTTTTTAAAGTATATTCCGTTTTATTTCTTTTTATTGATCAAATTTCACAAAACCAAACAGTGCCTTGAAAATAAATTTGAGCATAGTAATTGACTGATATAAGATTATTATAAAACACAAATGAAAATGATGAAATCACTTAATTTCCATTACACAAAATCAAATTGAATTTAAAATATGAAATAAAATAATACATGAATGTAACAAATAAATACGTTAGCGGTTATCTTCCAACTTGCAATACTTTACTTTAAATATTTGACGAACATTTGCCATAAAATCCTTTCTTCTTTTCTAAAACTTGATTGTCAACTGTTGCCGACGATTGCCAATTGCTGCCAACGATTGCCAACTGTTGCCAACAATTGCCAACTATTGCCAACTGTTGTCTACTTGAGATCAACGTCATCTCCCAATAGATCGTCGCACTCTTTCTCCCACTTATCATCTCCACTCTTCTCCGCCACCACCTCGTACTCTTTCAACTCCGCTTCGAGTTCTTTCTCCCATTGCTCTGAAAGTTTTATTATGTTTTATACTTTTAACATTCAGGAAAACAAAATAATCAATAATTCAATTGTAATTTTACCAGAATGAAATATTTTGTCTTCGTTAATTTCTTTGTTTAAATTATTTATCATCGTTCTTTTGGGATTGGTCTTTTGACTTTTGATATTACACATTTCTTATTACCATTTCAAAGCCGGAAATTTCGTTGCGTTTTACATTCGCGACTTATTTTAAGGCATACTTTGAGCTAGAAATTTGTAAATAAAAATGCAAATGCTATTTTAGAATAATATAATTATTTCAATTCATAATAGCTAACTATAAATGCCATTAATAACTATATGATTTACTAAACATTCCTTTACTGACAGAGTGTCCCTACACAGTCGCTACGAGATAGTAACACGAATATAGGGTTTATATGTTGCTAAAATATATTTTTATCAACTAATACAGATTATAAAAACATATTAAGATAGCAGCATTAGACTTTTAATTTCTTGAGTCCATTAGAAAAATTACTCTGAATTGTTTTTCATTAAATTAAAAAAACCTACAACACAAAAGTTTCGTAAACTTATAAGATAAATTAAAAATAAACCATCTTTATCCGTACTAAAGTGTCCATTATGAGATCGACGCAAAACCCTAGCCTTAGTATTTAAAATAAGGTTGAAAACGAGAAAAACTAGGCCTGTACGTATCACCAAATCCGCCCCCTAAAACTAGTAGAAGTTTACAAACTAACAAACACAACTAAAATTAAATACTAAGCTATGGCATTTCTTTTAAATTGAATTCACTGATTGAATTGTATGAGATATAATTGACCTGTCACAGAAGTGATATGCCTGCTATAGAAAAATGTATTAAATCGGATGAAATTAGTACTTTAATTTTTCCGTACTTACGAGGTAAATCTAAACATTCATTACAAACACGACTACTGTTTAGATGTGATTTTAAATAGTAACAACTGGGGAAATTTTAATACTTGAATCATTTTTTTTTATTTTTTTCTAAGAGACTTCAACATACAATCATTATGCTCCTCATTAATTAAATATGGACAAACTAACACACAGATATCAGAAAAATGGTGTTTCAACATTGCTACGTGGAATAAGATGGAATAAAAAAGACCAACTTTGAGAAATGCATCGAAAATATATCGAAACCAATACCAAAAGCAATATTATGTATAGCGAAGTTATTTTAATAAAATATATAGCAATGTCGAAACCCACGAATATTAGCAACATTTCTACGGAACAGAACATTGATACATATGAACATTATCTTATTTACTTATACATATATATAACATTCAATAGACATTAAGAATTTCTATAGGGACTAGAAAAATTTATAGACGTATAATTTATATAAGACTCAAATCTATAAAACGTACTCAAACTAAAACAAAATAAACTCAGCATCTCGGTTAGTTTATAAACCAAATAATACGATAAATATTTATAATTGAATGCAATATTACAATCATTTCTTTCGTTTAAATTGACAATATTTCTATTTTAATGAACAGTAAATATTTTAATGAGTAAGTATTTTAATGAAAGTTTGAATCATTAAAATCTAATAATGAACATATTTAATTAAAATAAATTATAAACTCTCCATCTTAACTGAAAATAAAATTTGAGTACGTTTTATACATTTCCGTCAAATAGTGTCAGAGATCTTTAGTCATATAAGACGTAGCAGTGACGTTAGACGTGGTATGTAGTCATTCCTCAAACATACGATATAACAAGGATGAAGATATGAGTACACACAGATATACAATATATCTCGAAACGAGAAACATATAGTAGAAACAGTTTTATTCTATACATAACGTTAGAAACAACACATATAGGGAACGTGTAGACAACAGTTTAATATGGTTGATAGAACAATGAAATGATTAAGTAAGTAGTAAAATAAAATCATAGACAAAGAATGAAATAAAGATTATTAGGAAATCCAAGATAAATTTCCAGAACATTCCATTATTCTATCAAGAAACAAGTTATAATGAGCTTCAAACACATTCTTACAGAAAAGCATCGTTTGGCGATTTTATATCAAATCCGATTTCAAACACAAACTATTCGAGTCAACACCGGCGTAAGGGCGAGATGGGGCAATGGCCCAGGGCGCCAAAGGCGCGTAGTAGAAATCTCGCCCAGGGCGTCGTAATGGTAAAACCGGCCCTGTAGTACATTTTAATATCCGCGAACCTTTTAGATATGATAATAAATCGTCAATACGAATACGATCGGGTGTTTCGGGATGTCCCTTTGGAAGTCCGTGGCTCGCTTAAGCTGCATTCCAGAAAAAAGAAAAAAATCGTAGTGTAACAATCTCGATACAACACAGATATTCCTTTTGGTAGAATTACCGAAATGTTGCTTTCTCGCCAGATCTTAAGACGTTCAGAATTTCTCAAAGTTGGTAATTTTTAACACGTCAATCCAAAAGAAATATACCATTGTAATAGAAGAACAATGTCAGTTGAAATCAGTCTTAAAAATGAATCAATAATGAAACAAATGAATGATAAATAAATCAAACTAAAATAGCACAAACAAACAAATAGGAACTCCTGTTTAGAACTTAGAAGACAAAATATCTCTAATTACAAAAGAAACTGGGACTTCTTAAATTATTTAGAGTTTACACCGAAGTCTTACCATCGTCGTTTTCACGATCTACTTTCAAAGACTTTATTCGTTTCTTGACATCGTCTATCGATTCTTGGGACGATTTCTCTTTGGATATCAGTCTGTCGCTTGCCGATTTAACATCTGACCGTGTGAGGAAAAACAAAACAAATGAAATAAAAAATAACAAACAAATATGAAAAATAAAATAAAGCGTACAATGTATCTGAAATGAAAAACTTCAAAATTCAAAATAGTGCAATAGTGTTATAATTAATAAAAAAAAAAAACATTTAAAAACAATTTAGCTTATGTGTTCGATAAGTGTAAGAATGACAAAAAATATCAAGTAAAAAATGTTTAAGGAAAATCCTAACCTAACACATGAAGTGTCCTAACCTAACAGATCCGTACCTTGCGAGTCGTCGGCGCTTTGCTGGCGGCCGGCGGCGGCGTCCGCCTCGTTAGCCTGGCAGATCAGCGACAGGCGGTAGAAATAGTTCCGCCAGAAGTTCTCCTCCGTGATGCTGCACACAGAACAATATTGAAAAATAAACTAAGAACAGAACAACCACACAGCAATTGACATATCGATTTAAACTCACACTTTGGGTACGAGATCGAAGCGCATCTTCTCGAGGTTGGGGTCCTCAGCCATGAGAGCGACGGCAACCGGGTACATCTTGTCATAATCGAAATCGAAATCGACGCCGGCGGGAGGCGCGCGAACGAAGTTACGTCGGTCCTGCAACGGTTGTACAACGCTCAGTCTCAGCACAGTAAACAAGAAACTTGCAGCAAACTTATGATATACAATTTGTAAAAAGTTAAGACTAGCTATCTACGAATGTACTTACAGTGGAGAGAGAAAGGCACTCCTCCTTGAGTGCGGCTTCATTGGGAGCCCCGACCCAGGGGGGCACGGCGGCGCCACTGCCGCGACCTTCCTGGCCCTTGATGAACGCGTCCTGCTCGCGGTTGAACTCGCCCAGGATGCTCTGTTGGCAAGACGAGACGTGATTTACAGTTGTCTTCAGAACCTAGACTACACTATATGGCGTAGTTTCATAATATAACAGGGGTAGTTTTCTTTCTAATCCATAAATTTTCGTACTTTACTTCTACACAAAATTGTCTCATAATCTTGTGGTCAGGATTATAAAGACTCGAGTAATTAATGTGGAATCTTAGCAGCTTCTTAACTTTGTAGTGCTACGATAGTTCAAAACTTTGTAGGTGAAGTTTTGAATATTAACTGCAAAGTTCAGTCTAATATAATGTTCGTTAAAGGCGATAAGTTCGCGAGTCGTTGCCAAAGCAAATAGGCCGTTACCACTCAAATTACCGGGAGCTCATCGATTCACTCGAATTTACGAGAAAAACCATTAATCTTAATGCGGAAGAGGGAATTTCTGGCGAAAGTCTCATTAACCTTTACTGGATTCGCTCTTGACGTAAATTTAATGGGAAATCTACGTCTTCGAGGAGAATAATGTAATTTGATCCGTCATATCGAAATTCATAAAGATTATTTTGGGACCTATAATTTCAAATACAAGTTGTTGATACTTTTTATTGATATATTATAATCTTGTTTGCTACTAACTTCTTGCGAGTTTTAATATATCCCCATACTATTTAAAGAAATAACCAATATGCTCTAGAAAAACTAGATTAATCGAATAACTATAATCGCAGTCTATAGGGCTTCAAACAGGTCGTTGCCTGACTAGCATTTCAGCGAACTTTCAGTTACAATAAACAATGTGACATAACACATAAATACCATAAAAACAAACATTCATCTTTTCTATATTTGGAAGTAATAGTGCCACCATTTTGAATTGGTTGTAAAAGTCAAAAGCAAGGTCGGAAACCGTTGGGAAGCAGAAATATCGTCGCCTTCACGTGAAAAATCGAGCTTCTTTTGTGTGAAATGGCCGGCAATTGAAAGGCTTTTGAAGGACCGGAGCCTCTAAGCACGATCATAATAGTCTACGAGCCTTTAAAAATGTAAGAGATATTTTATATTCTGTTCTCTTCATTCAATATACGTTGTTCCAATGTTGATAGGTTTACATCTTTCAGCCGTAAGCATTAGTGGTCAAAGTCGAAATATACCAGGTGTCCCAATTAGCGGCGATGGACATTGTAATTTGAAACAGAAGTTACAAATCAACAAATTTTCATTAAAATTCGTGTCAATCAAATAGGTTCTAAAATATCAGAGCAGTTAAAAAACCCAATTAGCCAAACCATAACCGGAGACGAATCCAATCTCTTTGTTCATACGAAAATTTTAAATGAAAAATATTGAACATTTCCATCTCGACTTTATTAAGGCAATTTTTCTTTCCGGTTACTTTGGCGAAGGTAAGATATAATGATATTTTCCTTCAAAGAAACAAATATACCCTGAGAACCGGTAATTTTACAAACTTCCTCGATAAAACATTAAAGGCATAACCAGCAACATTTTGGCCCCACAAATTACAAATAAAAAACTAGAATATACGAATGAACATTGGGATAAATACATTAAGCTTAGTAACATCAGAATGAAGGAAGCTGACAATTCCGATAAGGAACAAAAGAAAACCGGAACAATGGCTTGCTATTGGACAAAGAACAAGTGTATAGGGGACAGTAATGTGATTGTGAAAGTTGCAATTAAGTTAGTAATGTTGAGACAAACTCCATTACTGTACTCAGTAGATTAACAATTATCGCTACAATAAACATAACGTAATAATGATTTATTTAGAAAGAAACAAATATAAATTCAAAAGGATAAAAGAGACTTTTTTGGTAAACATAAAATGGTGATACCTTGTATATTGGGATAAGAAGGCTTGAGATAAGAATCGTGATAAACTCGAGTAACTAGGGGAGCGATCCATCACTTAACTAGGACAAGGAAAACTTTGTTCCTTTTACATTAAGTTACTTTGACTTAATTTATTTTTATTTAGTAACCAAGCTAGTAAAAGTAGCAAATAACTCAAAGAAGTTAAAGAAACGTTTAATTAAAAATAACTAAAAAAAAAAATAAGTCCAATCAAAACGTTTTTTTTTTTTTTAATAATATAAGGTGGCAAACGAGCAAGCGGCCACCTGAATCCACCGAAATGGAAAGCCACCGCTGCCCATAGACATCCGCAAATGCAGATGCATTGCCTACCCTTAATTGACAGAGAAGGAGACGCACATAAAGAGGACATTTCCCCTTCCTATGCGTCTCCTCCACCGTCAAATCCACTTTTCCTTCCCATTCTTTCCTCTTAAGAAAAGGGTGGAAAGGGAAAGGGACTAAAACGATGCCTCCGGCACCACACTCATCAGACGAAATGCGGAATTGCTTCCACTTCACGCCTGTTTTCTGTGTGGTCGTGGCATTACACCGTGCGAGCCGGCCCATTCGTGCGAAGATGTTAAAGCGGGCTCTACCACTGTTAAACACTGTTATAACAAGCCAGAACCCGGTAAGTAACTCAATATTAGTCGTAAAAGTAAAACATGTAACACTTTTGTACAGAAATATAACACAAATGATTCCTCATCCATTATGTGACAAGGGATCAATGAATGAGGAATACGGTAGCAATATAGCTAATGATGTAGATGGGCAGCATTACGAACAAACGATAGCCATCGATCAAGAGGACGGACGAGCGCGGGTAAAGGTACACAATGGAACAGAAAGTAATTGTTTTACCATTATAAGAGGGGAAATAAACATTTACTGGATAAGTTATATAGAATTATGGGGAAAATTGAAAGAAGCATGTCGATCGATCTCATATCGATAGCGTAGATGTCTCAGGGGGGTGTCAGTAGGCTCTTAACTTGGAACCTGCTAGTTTTGGGTTCAAATTCCGCTGTACTTGAATGTTTTACGATTTTCTAATTTCATACTCACGTTCTTAGGTGAAGAAAATTTCATGATGCATCGTGGTAAACCAACCCGCAGTTTGCTAGCGTGGTTAACTAGGACCAAGTCACCCCTAACATTGGAGTGAGCTGATGACAATAATTTATCGAGATCTTTGTAATGAATGTCATAGATTTAAATTTATAGTGACGACGAGATATAACAGTTACCTTAATAAAGTGACATCATATAACCAGCTTAATAAAAATTTAAAATGGAATTTTAAAAGGCATACAAACAATGAAAATGTCATTAATGATACAGACAAGAGTGTAACAATGGACGATGACGTCACGGGAACTCATAATGACGCGCGTGACAGTAACAAAGCTCCAACTCGTATAACGATGTAACTTCTGCTAGTTATAGTTAACAGAGCTATAGATACAAAGAGATTTCATTTAAAGTTTTCATACCATCTAATAATCCTATAATACTAACATTATATAAATGCCACAGTTTAGATAGATGTTTGTTTGTTATAGTTCGTAGTCTAAACGACTGAACGGATTTCGATGAAATAAGGTATAGATATAGAGGATAGACTGGAAGAACACATAGGCTAATCAATTATTAATTCCACACGGGCGGAGTTGAGGGCGAAAGCTAGTATTAGATAAGTTTGATCATCGCACCTTTCTACAATCGACGCACGTAATAAAAGAAAGGAATAATAATTTATTTGTATAGGTTTTTCGCCAGAAACGAACGGCAAAATTTAACACAATCGTGTAATATTAATAATCAACATTATATCAATGTTCGCGCATAAACCCTCAGAGATATAGCCTCGTGTAAGCTAAACGTCCTAAAAGCTTTTAAGCAACATTAAACTCGAGGGTTCTTTAGCAAATTCATTTTACTAGAAGTGATAAGGGTCTCGGAAAATGGACGCAAATCCACAAAGTGAGAAGCAAACCTGTTGGTGACAGTAAATGTATTAATATAAATTATTTCGTCTAATAATTTAAATACATAAGATTATCCGGAGCCCTAAAAGCCCCAGTTTAATTTATAATAAATAATAACTCTTACTATATTAAAGAAATATATTTTTCGAGTATATAAACGTCTTTTTTTATTACTGCATATTAGTACTCCGGTACACAGTTTCAAGTTTAATAAGCATAGTTACATAAAGTTCTAAAACTTGAGTTCTTTGAAGTGCTTCTAAGTTAGAACATTCTCTAAATATCAAAGCTTTTCAAATTAATTAACATTTAGGTTGCTGAAGCGAGACTCGTTTCCGAGAAGGTACAGAGCAGTACTGTCCTTCACTCCAACAAATTACTTTATACCTTCTATGTAAAATAATTATATACGACGATTGAATATAAATAAAATAGATTGGAAATAAAAGACATAACTTATTTATTTACGTAGTTCAAGTATAGAAAAAGAAAACAGAATATTTATGCTAATAATAAACAGAAAAGATTTGATTGTTTCCATTGAAAAGGCTCCGAAATTACTAAATTAATATCAAAAATTTTTTGGCCTTTGAGAAGCTACATTATCATTGAGTAACATAATCAACGGGAAGGGTAAAGTTATGAAAAATTAACATGGATCGAATTATAATTGTGACTATATTTCATGTTCGAAAGGCCACATGATATTTACAAAAGATTAATATATTCCTTTATAAAAAGGTTAAAAACGCGATATAAGAAATAACCCAAGTCTCAGAATAATTAAAAAAGTATTTTTTTAGACTGGCTTAAAAATTCGTAGCATCTGCGTTGAGCTACGTGTGCGCAGTTACGCTCGTAGCTCAATGAGAAAACTTGTCTGGCCGCTAGAGGGCAAACTACAAGGGGTAGAAAGTTTACCGTAGCCGTAACGACGCCCGTTATTAAAGCACTTTATCCAACTCTATTTGAAGTATACTTTTTGTTGGAAACGCTTTGTTCTGCGAACCATTTTGATTAAGGGGAAGTGACCTTTAATAAAATTTATTACGCTCCCCCTTGCTTTCTTAAGATGTTACAATTTTTTCTATACTTCAGTGTTTATGAAAGTCGATATAAAAGTTTCAAACGTAAAAGTTGCTTGAATAGTAGTATA